GATGATCTGTGGTTTTTGAAGCATCTTTCCATCCTGTTGCCATTTGGAAAAGGACATGTTTAAGTGATGTGAATGTCTTTTAATTATTTCTGGTTACTGTTTGGGTTTCTCTGACCACACAAGTCTGAGCTGAGCCTGAATCACATGGGCACAGTTTTTACCCACAATACTCTACATTTCTGAAAGATATGAGGTGGCCAAATGTAGGAAACTCTTATGATTTTGCTTCGGTCTTGGTAGGGAGCTTGGATCAGGCCATTTTTTCAGGCAGTGCAAAGACAGAAGTGTGATCGTGCGCCTCTTCATTTTGAAGTTTTAAGCCTCTCATCTTTGGAGTAAAGTTTATGTTCTTGAATTACAAAACTCTTGAAAGAAAAGACCTTGTGGTGAGTGAGGGAAAACGAGCCTGTAAAAAAAATATTGGAAGGAGGCTTGGTTCAGTGCCCCCAAGTTCAACTCCATTCCCTGGAGATGCTGAAATTGAGGAGGGTACTCTACCAAAGCTTTGATTGAGACCATCCATTGCTCTGAGTTTCGTATTGAAAGAAGAGAGGCTATGGTCAAAACAATTAAGTATTTTAGCTACTGCGTTTTTCCCAGTGGCGGAAATGGAGGCAGTGATCTTCTGTCCTCATTCTCATGTTGATCAAGTTATAAGACCATTCCTTGTTTCCCTCTGGCTGCCAAAAGGAACTAAAAATTCAGCATATTGAAACCTAAGCTTAGGTTTTTAGCTCCTGAGATTTCGCCTCCAACTTTTCTTGCCTTTGGTCTGCTGGTCTCTCCGTTTTAGAATTTAGAAATAACCTTTTGTTTTCGTCTTGACTCTTGTGCAATCTTTGATGATCCATAATTCTGCTCTTATAATGTTTCTCAGACCCTGATGATTAGTAACAATATGATTTTACCCAAGGTGCTCCAAATAGAGAAACCTGTCCCCTTCCTCTCTAATTATTTTAAGAACAAAAATTAGTTTCTTGCCTTAAGGTAGTATCTGCTCTTGACTCTAGCGCCCCAGCCTCTGTCCCATCCCATACATGCTTGACAGTTATTCTATTGCTTGTGGGAACGATTGCGAAGTTTATAAAAATGCATTATTTTCATGTGCATCTGCCCTATATGCATACTGAGTCCATAAACTACAAAAATTACTATGTTTTCCTTCTTTTCTCAATGACAGTGTCTTATCCTTGAAGATCCCTTTGAATGTACACGTTTCAAAACGCTGGGTTTGTAATAAGTTCTTGTCATCTGGTGAATTTAAACAGAGAAGCACAGTTTCGGTGTATAGTGCAAGATACGAGATATAAATGACAGTTCAACGGACCAGGGGAAGGGAACACAGCCACACTTCTCAAGCACCCCTTGAAGCAGAGGAAAGTGCACATACACCTTAGGTGGCTGGAGTATAGCCGGAAGCAGCTGTATTAAATGTATTTGATGTTCCTGTTTAATCATAAAAATTCTGGGGAGTTATTCTTATTTCCATGGTATCAGTATTTATTTTAATATAAAATAATCATTTAGATTAAACATTAGTTTAACAGCTTCTCTTTCCACTTTGTGCTTCCAAAATGTAATAAAATTGATATTCTAAAATTGGTCTGATTAAAGGTGTTTCTCATCTTTTCGCAGATATCTTTGAGATTTTAGAGACTTGATAACAAGCAGCACTATGCAGAAAATGAACAGCATATTAATGGCCACTAAACAAGTGAGAAACAATTTCATACACAATTTCCGAAAGGAGAGCTGTATGTGTTTTCACTGACTGAGATTGTGAATATAGGAGCAGAGATTTAAAAATTGAAAGTGTTTATTAAACTCATAATAAATTATGTTTCATTTATCTGTTTTAATTGTGTTTAAATAAGTTTACATGTTCTACAAAAACCACTTTGGTATATATCACTAAAATACAAAATCTGAATTATTCTATTTAACATTTAATTTTACTTCTAAAGAGATTTATGTGAACTTAATGTTTGCATATAGTGCTTCTTAACAACTTTTTAAATAAAAAAACTTGTATTACAAGTTCAGGGTAGAATTATTATTAGAATATTAATATAAAAACTTACTTGCTACAAATAATACATTTATAATATAGTGAAAATGCTTTAATTTTATGCATTTGCATACTTATATTTTGCATTTTAATTGTGTATACTATTATATTCTATCTAATCACATATATAATACCAATAATATTATTAATATTACATGTAATTACTTATATATTATTTTTATAATAAATGGTATAATTTACATAATATTATGCTGTGTTTACAATATCTTTTTTTAAATTGCATTTTAGGTTTTGGGGTACATGAAGCTTAGTGTGGTTTGCTGACTTCCTCCCCATCACCTATAACTGGCATTTCTCCCCATTTTATCCCTCCCTAACTCCCCACCCCCCGCTTTCCCTCCCCTAGTCCCCCGCAACAGACCCCAGTGTGTGAAATCTCGTTGCATATTACTTTAGCTATTGCACAATTGCAAACAAAATAAAACATCACTGAAAAGTTAAATAAATTAAAATGAATACAAGAAAATACACTATTAAAGATATCATCAGTATTACTAACTTAGAGGTCACATGTTAAAGATCTATGCTATCTTAAAATGTATTGAAATACTTTAAATGTGATTCTCGTATTTACTATAGACTAGCCCATGGCATTCTGTAAAGTCTTTAAGAAGTTTCTTTTTTTGGTTGACAGGTTAATGACTCCAATGTCTTCTTTCAAATTCTGCGGCGTACACTTCAAAGTCTGACAAAAGTCAAACTTTGACTTTTCTATTTCTATAAAGTTGTGTAAAAAATATGGTTGATTATGAACCTTTCCCCTCTAAAAATTATGTTTAACTACAGCTACTTGTAAGTAGTTCACTTTCCAGCATGCATAATATTATTTGCATCTTTTCAGATGGACAGATTGATTCTGAGAGGCTATGAGTCTCTAATTTCAAATTCAGTTTTGGAAAAGTGGACAAAGGTAAACTTTGATGCATCCTGAAGTCTCCTGTCTTGTTCTTCATAACAACTGCTTTCAGGCCATAGCCTGTTAAAATTACCTTAATTGACGGGGACTGCTACTTTTCCCAGGAGTATTTGCTGCAAGTGATCAAGGCTTAAAGCCGTGCTTAGCAGCACGAGTGGCACTTCAGTCATAATTGATGGGATTGAGGGATATGGTTTTATTGCAGTTACTTCTATAGTCTGACCATGTTGATAAATCCCTATTCTACTCACAATTTCAACCTTGCATCATTTTGTTTATTAGTAAAGTGCCTCTTTGGAATAAGGATTTTTTTTCGAGATGAATAACAATTAATTTTTTTTCTAGATATCTAAAATTTTCCTAAATCTAAAATCTGAAATATTTTGGGAATAGCAGTTCCATAATACTTTTTACTCTGTATGTGTTAGTTCTTTGTTCTCTTTCAGATTTACCTCTTTGAGACTGACAGACATTTGCCATTATAAATAAATGTTTTCTGAAGATTTATATTGCTTTTCTAAAATCAAAGTATTCAAATATATATGTATCTTATTTCAATATATGTATTTAAAAATTATATAATTAAAATACCTTAGAAATGGAAATAAACATGTAAAGCAATTCATCCTCTGTCAGCCAATCAATAATACCGAGTTCCGTTCTGGGCTAGAACTGTGCAGATTCTGCAATCACTTTAGGACATAGTTCCTTCTCTAGTTGATCAAATGTGGAAAGAAAGCTTCATAATGTCTGCAGGGCATTTTTCTTTCCAGCTTTTCAGAATAGCAAACAAAAAGCCAAATAAAAGAAAGAACTCTATTTTCAATTATTATTTTATTTAAAAATGCTATTATAATGCCTAAGAACTTGCTATACTGCATACCTGTAGTACCACTGAAGAAATAAGCCTTATTTTAGTGAATGTCAATCGTAAAGTTGAGAAAAGTTAAAAAGTGCTTGGTGGGACCTACCGATTTGTGTTTTCTCAAAGCCTGCTCTTACATTGGGCTGTTTCTAACTTTAGTTGGCTAAAAGTGTGACGTTTCTAACTATATGTTGTAAAACTGATACTGTAAAAGGTTCTATTTATTTAAGGTGAATTGTGTATTCCATTTTCCTCGCAAACTCAGTGACGTTGTGATTTATGCTTTTTTTTTTTTTTTTTTTTTTTTNCCCAATATGAGGCAGTGGTTCTTGACCTCGGTTGCATATTAGAATGACCTGGGGAACATTTAAAACATGTGGATTCCCCAGCTGTCATAGAGGTTCTTACTTAATTGGATTAGGGGAAGCCTTGGCATCTGTACATAATAAAATCTCACAAGGCAATTTTAATATGCAATCAGGACTGAGAATCACTGGTAGGAGGGAAAGGGGTTGTATTTAAATTATCTGGAAAATCTCATCCCCGGGAATAGTAATACATCCTGTGTGCATAGCGACACAGCATATGTTTTGAAAAAGCTCTCCTACCAGTTCTAAGCACTGCAAGCAACTCCGGTGTGAGGAAGTAAGTTCTTCACGGGCTTGGTTGTGCTGTCCGTTTGCAGCTCTTTGGAAAAATCATGTTGGGCGGAATTGGTAAGTCCCATAACCATCAGTCAATGTCGGCGAATTATCTCTGCACCTCTTCACATATTAACACTTCAGTTTGATTCGTTATTAAATGTAGAGCTGAGATGAATAACCTTTGTAATCAGAACACAAGACAGATATGTTTTGATGAAGAAAGAGAATGGAAAAATCCAGAAGGTTTAAGGGCTTAAGACAGTACTGGCACCCTATCACCTATGTAGATGAGTTGATGGAAAAAGGAAGAAATGTCAGTTTCATAATTGTCTTAGAGTCAATCCTGTGTCTATTTGTTCATAACCATCTCAAAATTTTATTTAGAAAACTGTCCCTGTTGGGTCACTAAATACACTAACAACTTTGTCACTGATTATGGCCAAACTCAATCACTTTGAAGCATTCAGTTTTTCTTTTCTTTTTTTGTTTTTGTTTTTTGACACAGTTGCATTTTATTACCTCCACATTTTGAAGCAGTTCATGACCAGCATAGTGCTTTGGGGGAATTTTTTTTTCCAATAAATGAAAGCATTTCTTTAAGAAAAAGGCACATATTCCTTGAATAGGTAAGAAAAGCTCCCCATCTGTCCCCTCCCTTTTTGAGGGAGGAACCCCTGTGGGAACTCATACCAGTACCCCAAAAACGTTCAGCAAAGCAACCAGTAGCCTCCCTGACCCCTTGCCCTGCTTCCCCAACAGCTGGGATGAAGACATTCCACACAGATCATTTGATCTTCAGGTCCTTCAAGGCTGACTCCAAGCTCTTCACATCCCAGATACTCATGCCACCGTCCATGCCAGTGGTGCAGAACTGTGAGCACTTGGCCTTGCCCCCGCTGAGCACTGAGATCTGGCTGACGCTATTCTTGTGCAGCGAGTCCAGGCCCGAGCCCGCGGCCATGCCGCCCTCAGAGTTCGCCTTCTTGTCAAGGTTCTGGAAGCGCTCGCGGGCCGTCAAGCCGCGCTGCGAGCTCTGCTTGGGCACATCCAGCCGCCCGCCGAAGCTCAGAGTCCCCGCAGCGGCGTCATAGGTGAACAGCACCGGGAAGCAGTCGTGGCCCGCTGCCACCAGGCTGTTGTCTGTGATGAAGGTCAGCGCCAGCAGCGGCAGTGTTTCAGAGGCCAGGGTCGCAACAGCCATCTTCTTCTCAGCATCAGCCAGACACACGGTGCTGTCATGGCTCACCCAGGCCACGCGGCTCCCGCTAGCTGAGAAGCAGACGCCATGTACCCAGCCGCAGCTACTGGTGGACTCAAACATCAGCTCCCCAAAGGGCATCTTAGAGCCCCATGGGGTGGGTGCAGGCCTCTCCTCCACCTCCTTGATGTAGGCTGAAAAGATCCGGCACTTGAAGTCGCAGGAGCCGGCAGCCAGCAGCACATTGTTGGGGTGCCAGTCCAGGCTGAGGACGGTGGAGCGGATGGGCTTCTTGATGTGCTTGCAAACCCACCAGTCATTCTCCTGCTCGATATAACAGATGGAGATGACACGGGAGCCGCTGCCCACAGCGAACTTGTTCTCGTTGGGGCCCAGCGCACGCAGCGGGCGGCCCGGTTGATCCGCAGGATGACCAGCTTGGGCTTCCACGTGCGGCCCTTCAGTGTCCACACGTAGGCGTTGCGGTCTGTGCCACAGGTCACAATTCGGTTACTCTCAGGAGCCCAGTCAATGCCTGTCACCTGCCCATTGTGCTCCTTGAGCTCGTGCGCCTTGGTCCATTTGGCGCCACTCTTCTCGTAGATGTGCACCTCATGGTTGTTGGGGCAGATGGCGATCTGGGTACGGTCCTTGCTCCAGGCATGGCAGCTGATGGGCTCAACCGGGAAGCTGTGGTAGGCCATGGTGGCTTGGCTCCTACCGCGCCACGGCCGCGGACTCTGGGCAGTCGACGCGCCGAACCGGCTCTGGGCCCCGCGCTGCAGCCGCAGCCACTTCCTCGTGGGCGGGGGGCGGGGCCTCCCGACCTCAGCCAGCATTCAGTTTTTCTTATTGTTTCTACCAACACCAATTAATCTTAACTTTTTCAATAGTAATTTATAATAACAAAGAAATTTGAAGAAGAAATGTTATTTCTTTTTTATATTGGATGCAACACTAATCTAACTGGATTCAGATTAGACAGATGAGGCCATGTGATGTGTAATTTATTGTATTCATTTGGCTGGGCCATGGTGCCCAGATATTTGGTTAAACATTCGGGATGTTGCTGTGAATATGTTTTTTGGAAGGGATTAACATTTAAATTGGTAGACTTTGAGTAAGGCAGATTGCCCTCCATAATGCGTGTGGGTGTCATTCAATCAGTTGAAGACCTTAACAGAACAAAGATTGATCTCTCAAAAGCAAAAAAGGATTCTGCCAGCAGACTGCCTTTGAGCTTGAACTGCAGTTCTTCCCAGGGTCTCCAGACTGTGCCTACCCTGAAAATTTTGGGCTTACCAAGCCACTATAATCGTGTGAGCCAATTCCTTAAAATAAATCTTAAATCTCTCTCCTCTCTCCCTCTCTCTCTCTCTGTATATATATATATGTGTGTGTGTGTGTGTGTGTATGTGTGTGCATGCACACACATATACACACATGTATATACACATGTATATATGTGTGTGCATGGACACACATATACATGTGTATATACATGTGTGTATATATGTGTGTACACGCACACACATATATATGTATATGTATATGCACACACATATATATCATGTGTATATATATATCATGTATATATATCATATATATATCATGTACATATATATGTATGTATATGTATATACATGTGTGTATATGTATTTATATATGCACACACATGTACACACATATATACACACGCATATAGATCTACCTATATATTATATAGATACAGAATATATACAGATATAGTTCTAAACTGATATATCTATAGAGAGATATAGATCTATATTGATATATCTAACTATAGATCTGTCTATCTATCTAATCTACATATATTCTGTTGACTGTTTCTCTGGAGTGCCCTGGCCAATACAGGTCATACTAAAGATATGGACACTATGGTGGTAACTGTGGGCCCATCTGTCTCCACTTCTGGTCATCTGGACCAGCGATATGAATATTTTGTGGGAACTTGTTAGAAATGGCGATCTTTGGGCTTTATTCTAGACCTACTAATTCAGAAACTGTGGATGTGGCTTGCAATCTTCATTTTAACAGGTCCTCCCCATAATTCCTAAGCAAACTAAAGATTAAAAACACTATGGTTTGAATGTATATGTCTCTCCAAAATTCATGTTAGAACTTAAACCCCAAAGTGATAATGTTAGAAGGTGGGGTCTTTGGTGGTGCTCAGGTCATGAGGAAGTCAAGCCTCATAAATGGGATTAATGCCCTTATAAAAGGGCTGAAGGAGACTATCTAGGCCCTCCTTTTGCCCCTCTGCCTTCCACCATGTGAGGACAGAGCAACAAGGCACCATCTTGGAAGCAGAGAGTGAGCCTTCACCAGACACCCAATTTGCTACTGTCTTGATGTTGGACTTCCCAGACCCGAGAACTGTGAGAAACAAATTTCTGTTGTTTATGAAGTGCCCAGTCTGTGGTACATTGTTATAGCAGTAGGAACAAACTGAGCCAACAGTTACAGGTCATAGAGGACTTTGGGAGTTACATAAGCTACCTGTAACCTCACTCTGACTATATTTTCTAGAGGTAATTCATCTAGGTGAGAAGGGAAATAGATCAGTGGTTCTTAAACTTGGCTGCACATTCAAATAACATCAGAAGTTTTGAAAAACCTCATGCCTGCTTTGCAGCCTTCACCAGTTATGAGTATTTCTAAAATTTGCCCAGGAGATGCCAATGTGAAGCCAATTTTAAGAACCAGGAGCATAGGTAAATCAGGTAGGTTTGCTGTTGGGAATAGAGAAAACAGTTACAGTGTTACATGATCAAAATTTCCTCTGAGTCACTATAAATTATGAAATATCCTCATAATCAGCATATATTTTTAAGAGTTGTACATATTAACATTTAATCTTAAGAATAACCTTATACTTGTCCTCCTTTAGCAATTGAGGCAACAGAGAGGCAGAAAGGTTAAGTTGGCCAAAGCGACAGTGACAAAACACGGACTGACTTGATCTCAGGCACTGTGCTCCAGAGCGTGTGCTCTTTGCGGTTACCCAACACCACCTTGCAAATAGTAGTTGATGTGGTTGAGTGCATGCTTTTCCTGCAGCTGAGTCACAGCTTGAAGAATACTGGCATTTGCAATCCTGCTAATTTCTTGTCAGTGATCTATGCAGGCATGAGAGACTGCTAATTCAAAAGGCGAGAACGGAACTCACTACTCCTCAAGCATTTGAACAAAAATGGAATCCTGGAAAATGTCTCACTAGAAAAAAAATCTGAATGATGAGAAAAGATTTTTGTGTTAAGCCCAGGGGAACAAAAAAATGAGCAGGCTCTGGTTGGTGACAAGGAACTACCTTCTCGATTCATGTTAATATCCTGGCATGGCCTAGCTTCTTCATTAATGGAGCCATATGGTGTCATCAATGATGAATTTACATGGAGAAAAACATACCTACAGTTTTGAAAATGTTTAAAATCAATTGTTGCATGCTGTTGTTAGTGACCAGTGTGAGTGATGCAAAGGAAAATACTGAATTTGCTTTATGTGCCTGTTAAATTTTGGTACATTTAAAATATAATATCCACTAAATCCATTTACTGTTCACCATGTTAATTAAGTTTGGCACTTTTTCTGTTTTATTTATCAGTTTACACATAATCAAATTTGGAGTCTGGTCATAGCCATTGGATACAGTATCATTTACAGATGTCTCTATGACAAGTTTTTAATTCAATTAGCCAGTATGAGGGTCTGATTTGGGGGGAAGAAAGCAAAAAACATAATAATAATAAATCAAAGAAACAATTGAAAAACAACTACAGTGATGTCATTGTAGACCTCAAACATCAACCTGACTGAGATTGTGAATTAACATGATCTCAGTTTTACTTGAGCTTTTTATACAGCAATGATTGTTTGATTCCACAATGTGGATTTGTCTTACATGTAATTGTGAGCTATTTGTGTTGTTGGGTGTTAAAAATCTGCTAAGTAATTCCCTCCCTGTAAAAGGAAAACTCTAGGACATAAAGCTTGGTATATATCCTATCTAATGATTTAGTCTCAAACTCAGAAAAAAATAACTGTTTTTCAGTTTTGAGATGGCACTTCGTGCTTATTTCCATTATAGGCTTTTGTAACTTACACTTTGAAACATTCTTTAAGTGTCTTAGAATCCTTGGTTGAATATTTTGTTTTATCCTTATAAAAGAGAGCCTCTGATGAAATTGATTGGTTTACTTTGAAAATGTATCATTTCTTCAGTGTACATTAGGCAGACATAGAAATCTATTCTTGGCAATCACATCATAAGAATTCCTCTGAAAACGTCTATACTGGAGAAACAACTGGCCTATTTCCCGTTAATTGTAAAACCATTGGTTGTAGAATAAAGAATAGCACTGATGATCTTTTCCTTAATCAAGCTCTTAACTTCATCTGCTGTTTATTTGCTGACAAGCAGAAATCTAAGTTATTGCTTTTGTTCCAAACTCAGTGAAACAGTGTCTTTAAAGTATCAAATATAAAGACAAAAATATAAAATTTCTCTCCAAATAATAGGAATCCAAGAAGGTATAATATATACAAAGTAAACTCATTTTCACAATTAATTTATCTGCAATCATTTTGTTAAACCTAACATATTTTCTCTGAAATAGGAGCAAATAATAACACATAGGAGGTCACCTACTTATTCTCATTAGCTATTAATCAATAAATTCACAGAAAAGAACTTTATACATTAATAAAGTGATTATTTTCAAATTTAGTTTTTTAAATTTGATAAATAATAATCAGATCTTGCGAGAACTCATTCACCATCATCAGAACAGCATGGGGGGAAATGCCCCAGTGATTCCATTATCTCTGCGTGGTCCTGCTCTTGACACATGGCAATTATTACAATTCGAGGTGAGATTTGGGTGGGGACACAGCTACACCACATCCCTTACCATTCTGGGTGGGGATGGATGTTGGCTTTCAAACCTTTTTCATTTTTCTATCTTGATTACTGTTTAGTAGAAACTGAATTAATAGAAACTTTGTTTCTACTGTTTAGTAGAAACAAAATTAATGCTCCTGCAATGGTAACATGAATTTTACTGGTTAAGGTAGAATTCTAGTTCTTATTAAAAAGAAGATGTGTATATATCATGAGGAATTGTTTTTGTTTTCTAAAAATAAATGTTTTTCTAAGAAATTCAGTCTCATGTTTATGTCACTTTCATTTACTTTATGTCAGGAAGAAGGAAGAAGTCATTGCTGATATAGTTTAGTGAAATTATGTATGTGCAAGCATACTGTAAACAGCCACACACTTTCAAAATTTGGGGTACTATTTTAATGTTTAAAAAACACCCAAAACCCACAAATACCTCTGACAAAGCAAGAGATCCATTTGAAGGTACCAAAATATTAATCTTTCAGCAGTGGTATGATGCAGTAGGCAACTTTGAAAGGAGATGATTAATTTCCTGAAGAAAAATCTCAGCAAATATATTATTTATATGGCGTCATCATATTTCTCTCATCTCTTCCTTGTCTTTTTTCCCTAATGTATTAGCAGCTTGTATGGCACTGTCCAATTTAGTTAGTCCCTGAATGTATCAACGTCTAATGATTAATAAAAGTTTAAAAATTCAGATATAGTTTGAATTAACTTGGCATTGTCTTTGTAACAATAGAATTTTTAGTATACTAGAACAGACAACACAAATGTGAGAGCCTTGAAAATGTAAACAAAATGACAAACACGGAACATAAAGGAGCAGTTTAATATACTGGTTAAGAGCATGAATTCTGGGGTCATAGTGTCTCTATTCGAA